GGATACTAGCGGACGGCTAGACTGACACTGTGGCCACTGTTTGTTGTAGCACAGTAGTCTGTCCAGAGGGCATCAGAATTCTTCGCATCAGTCATTGTCCAGTTGTTCCGCTCTCGAGGGATGTTGTGTCCTCCTATAGCCGCCTATAATTAAATTTTCTTTCTCCACTCCCCCAACGTTATGATAGTGACGGTTTCTTTTAGCTACGTGTTTTTATTTGTTTTTTTTCAAGTTTTGTTTTGCGCATGTGTTGAGCCAGTACTTGCTTCTTAATTTCGCTTGCATTCTTATTAACTGTTATGTTTTGACATTTGGGTTTGTAATAAAAGGGTTCTTTGTTCTCAAAATTCTTTTGAATACCAGTTGCATGTTGCATGTTATTCAAAATTGGAGGAAAAGGAACGTTTTGAGGAACGAGATGTTTGATGTTTCAGTGATAACATAGTTTCGGTGCGCAACTTTCTGCTGACGTTCACTGCTGTTTAGTTTTATTCAAAGAGGAGTAGTCTCTTGCTGGGGGTTTCGATAGAGATACACTTGGTACGCTGAGATCACTTGACTGATCTCTGCAGTTCTTATATAGAATACTTTCATGCTGGAAAGGTTTGCCTGAGCTTATCCCCCCTGTTCAACCCTCCTTATGCAACTGGATGCTTCATTTTCATTTGATTAAAGACTAAAAACGTCAAGGTGTTGGCTATGATTGAAAATTTTCGCGTTTCTCAAAACTGCGGAAAAAGTGTTTTATTTGCTCTTGCCCGTGGTTTTCGTTTTGTTCCTGTATGTATTCTTTAATTTTAAAATTAAAAAAGTTAGACTGGTAACAGCAGTGAGTTTTTTTTAGTAGTTACATTATCGTGGGGTAGTATTAATAAAGGCTGCAAAGTTTTTGTAATTTCTGTCGGTTTTTGGTCTCTATGCCTTGAAGGATATAGATAGGGCTGGGAAGCGGAAAAGCGACTTAAACTTATCACCAGCGACAGATCTTTTGCGTTTACAGACGTTGATCACTTGTAAATTTGTGATTCTTTCTTAACTCACTTCAATTTATACCAGTATGTGTTTGGACGTATTGAAATTAATTAAGAAATTTTTGTATTATCTCTTGGAAATCTGGTGGATTTTTAACCTTCCATTTTCCTTTTACTTGCAGTTTAGTGCTATAGATCATCAGACTCTTCATTTCTCGAGGAATATGGTTAGAGTTGCATTAAGTTATTTGCCTCTTTACTGTACTTCCCGTCACTGTTGTTTCCGGATAGTAGGTTTTTTTTTCTTCAGGTAGAACAAAGAAAAACTACTTCATTTATTTTGCTGGACGACTTTTTGTGTTGATTAATTTCTACTACGCTGTCCAGTCTCTCCACATTTTTAGCAAGTCCAGATGACTGAAACCACATCAGACCATGAAACGGACTGTGTATGCATTTTCTCGAGGAAGTTGGCTCAGATAAGTTTCAATTGTAGATTCAACTGCAATTTCCGGACCACTTTTCTTTTGTGAAAGGTAGAGGTGAGCTCCACTTTTGGTTTATGTAGCGAAAACTGTCTGCAGTTGGAAAATTGCCACTGGTTTATAGGATTACTTTGGTATTTTTTACTCCGGAGAGTCAGTTGTCATAAATCTCTTACTGTTTCTGCCTTATTATTGAAGCCTTAACAAGTTTCTTGGTTTCATTGATTAGCTCATATGGGACTTAATACGTTGAAGAATCTGCATAGGCAGCAAGCGGAAATATAGCACGCTCCGGCTAAAAAGTATAGGTTTCCTCATTTCGCATAAATAGTTAACATTAGCTTTTCGGCTTATTCAACAGTTTACAGTATAAAGTTACGAAAATTTGAAAAAGAAACCTATAGTACACTGAAGAGGAATTGTGAGTACCGATGATCTGCAAAAACAGGCTATTTGCTTTTGGGTAGGCTAAATCTCATCATTTTGACTGTTTTAAGTCTGAACTTGTTGTTGCACGTGTTTCTTTGCATCTGTATTTCTGTATCGATGATTGCTGCATACTTATTAGCAGGGATGATGCAAAATTATGCTTAGTGAGCGTTTGATTTGTTGTTTAGAAAAGCAGGGAGTTAATTATGCAGATATTACTGTGAAGGACAACATACGAGTTTTAAAGAACTGGTATGTAGTAAGTTGTAAATGGAAGATCTAGTTACCTTTGAATCACGAGGTATGGGCAGTTGTATTTAGGTTTACGAGAACAGTTCGGTCTTTCAAAAGGGTGATAAGATGTTTTTGACTTTGAGTCTAGTGAGATGTTTACTTGGCGAAGTTCTAGATAATTCTAAGCTACACGTCATGTTCTGCTGAAATGCAGGAAGGTTTGTGGCTAGAGCAAGAGGAAGTTTAGCTGTGAATGGAGAAATGGATTTTATAAGTACTACTTTAATCTAACTATTGTAAGTCTAGATGGTGCTGAAGGAGCGTGATAGGGGAGTTGCATCACGAAATCAGGAGAAAACGTTTACTTGCTTTATTCGTCTTAGAGAGCTTTTACGTAAGTACAGGTATGCGGAAGTGTTCCATCTACTTGTATAAATTTATTTTATTTACCGTTGCTTATTTGTTCTATCTTCGTTTTAACAACCGTTTGTAAATACTTGCGCTTTACTGCGGAACACCGTTTTGAGCGAGTGCAAATCGTGCTTTTTTTAAGGGATGACTTTTGAAGACGCAGCAAGTTACTTCAGCAGTCGCCTGAATGAGGGTGAAATTAGTAAGTCGACTGGTTTAGCAGCCATCGAAACACTTATGCGATGCATAGAAAATTCAGAAGGTTAGAAAAAGTACCTACATGTTTTTTTTTGTCCGTTTTGTTTGTCCTTCGTTTGTCTTAGTCTAACTTTACGTGGTAATAAAGCTTTATATTTAGCGACCACAGTAAACGAGCTGATGGATGAATTGAAGAAAGTGATTGCAGCTATGTCATCGACAGATTATAGCTCTACATCTGTTCGTAGCGCTAGTGAATTATTTTTGAGGTGTTTCTTTCTTTGTATCCTCTTCACAGCTTTACGCGAGTTAATGGCTGCAAGAATACCTTAATTAAGGTTTATATCGCTGGCTACGGCGGAACAGAATGTGCAGAAGTTTAGCGACTTGATAGATATGTATAAAGACAGAGGGATATTTTTTATAAATCGTATAGCGAAGAGCAGGGCTTTGATTGCAAGTTACGCAAGGCCTTTCATCGAGAATAATATGGTGAGTGCTCTGATTCCTTAGCTGGCTTTTATTGACGACATATAATAATTTTAATTTTGTAGAACATTTTAACGCATTCATATAGCAACGTGGTTTTAACAGCTTTGTTTAATGCCAAACGAGAAGGCGCGAATATACACGTTTATGTGACGGAGTCTCAGCCAGACGCTTCAGGTTAATGTTATGTAATTCAGAAGATGACTGGACGTAGTTTCCTCAGTGATTCTTATTAGGTGATTAGGCAAGGAATCGCTAACAGCAACTTTTTTTCCTGTGAGTCATTTCTTTTTATGGAGTCTCAAGGCAGTGCTCCAATTGTCCAAAAACTTTCGTGTTTTAAGGTCGGGTCGGATTTGCTAGTTTTAGGCAAAAAGATGCTGAAGCGCTTGAAGAAGGAGGGCATTCGATGTACGCTTATTCTGGATGCTGCAGTTGGGTAATCTCTTTTTGATCAGTTATTTTCTTGCAATGCTTTCAAGCATTTTTTAAATAAGACCTTCGCAGGTACATAATGGAATCCATTGACATGGTATTAATTGGTGCAGAAGGTGTGATGGAGACTGGCGGAGTAATCAACAAGATTGGAACGTTAAGTATAGCAACATGTGCAAGTGCGATGAATAAGAAAGTGTATGTTATGGCAGAAAGTATCAAATTTGTGAAGGAATATCCACTGAACCAAGGAGATATCCCAGCAGAGTTTAAGGTATTTACTTCAGTTTATCTCTCTCTTTATTTTCAGTTGTTCTCACCGTCCGATTGCAGTATAGCAATTCGGTCTTGCGGAAGCACGAGGATGACAGCGATTTTACTGAGGAGCATCCACGAGTTGATTATACCCCCCCGCAGTACATTAACTTATTGTTTACCGACCTCGGCATTCTGACGCCAGCCGCTGTGGGAGATGAGTTGATTAAACTGTACACATGAATCTCTCGATAAAAGTTTATGAAAGGTTTGCTCTAAGCTGGTAATTGTGGCAAAGAAAAAGCAAATACGAACATCAATGATAATCATTTCATTTGTGACCGCATATTCGAAAACGAATTACAAATTTAGCAAGAACATCCGCCAGCTTTTCGGGAGAGTCCTCCTGGACCGCATGCCCAACCTTGGGTAGGATGGTGTTTTGGAATTTCCCTTGCATTTGGCCTACCTGAAGAAAACGTGTAAAAAATCGTCTAAATTTAGTCGACCCTAGCACTGCGAAAATTAAAAGCATACCGTGAGCTCAGTGTCCAGCCTGTCCACTCCAGCTAGAACCAGTATTTTTGGTACGGAACAACTCAGAAATAGTTTTGAAAGGCCTTTGAACCAACCCAGCCAATGACCCTCCGTTTTTGCAAGGTCGATTCGCCAGACGTATTTCTTAGAATCAAAGAATAGCACGATAAAAACAAGGCTAATACATAGAGGGGAAATAATCTCCAACTGCTGCGAAACTTTTCGGGAACGAAGCATTCTTTCTTATGCGTTTTTGGCGTGTATGGATGCCTCATACCTGTCAAAACCACATTAAAGTATATTAAACTTTTAAGTCACTCATGATCACCTGTTCTGCACTGTGTGTTAATTTTTTACCTGTTTGTGCTTACAATTTTTTGCTCATTTCTTTTTCTTCGGGAATGTGCGAGTAACTTTAATATCTACGTGTGAATTATTTCACATCAAGTCGAACAGTTGTCAGTCGACCTCTCAAACGTTTTCCGTTTTTTGCCTATTTATAACACTTGATACCGGATTGTCAAATCAGAAGAGTTTGCCTCAAAGAGCGCACTAGCGACGAAGCTAGACCGTTCTAAAGTGCGAAGAAAAAGCGATTTGTTTCCAAAGTGGTTACTTTCAAGAACTTGCAGCTTTTCCATTCACGATGGATTCTTAAATTTTTGCTTCAATTGAAAGCCTATCTCCTGTAGACTCAGGAAAATGGCAAGAAATACACATTAAAAAATTCTGTTTGAGATTAAAAGAAGAACGGAAATTTGCGACGTTTTTCCTTACAGAATGACATTTAAATTTTTCCGGAGGGAAACCTATTTTTTGCAAGCATAGTTTTTACACAACATATCCAAATCGCAAAGTGGTGTCT